TTGACTTTTGGGTGAGGAATGTCTTGTCTCCTTGGGATTCCCCTCTTATCAAAGGTGAAACTAGACTTGACCTCGCTTAAATTTCCCCAAACTTGGTTGTAGGGAACTCTTATGAACATCCCAACATCGTTCTTGTCATACACAGCACCACATTTGGGGCACATCAAGCATATAGAGTTAGCTTTTTGACATCTCATAAGGAAACCTAACAAACTTTCCTCTGGCTTGAGGTAAGGAGTCAGTATTTGGTTTGGACTTCTCTAGTTCCCCGCAGTCTACGCCTTCTGGATCCTCTCGTATTCTAATGCGGACCTTTGATCATGGACGATACTGCATCTGGGGCATGTAAGCATATCAGCATCCTGCACATGGCAGCGGAACAAGTAATCCCGTAGACTTTCGTTGCTTTTGGCATATCCGCCTCTCATTTGATCATTTTCCAACTTCAGTTTTCTTCCTATTTCCTCCATTTCTAGGGTAGGTTGATTCAAATATATCATGTTGATCTCAAGATTTTGACCTTCAGTAGTCTCAATCTTTCCATAGGCAGATTTTGAGTCCTTAGCAATCTTCATCTCTTCGAATTTCACTCTAAGGTCTTCAGTAGCCTTAGCATTTTCAACTTCTGGGGTTGCGTCATCAGCAATGTTTCCCTTTGTAGCCTATTCCTGTGGAACTTCAGCAATCTTCGGAAAAGAGTCAATTCCATCGAAAGAGTCTTCAGACTTGAAGCCTTCAGTAGCCTCACTTTGTTCCATCTTCACTTGTTGGCTAGAATCTGTAACATACACTTCCACCATGTTGATGTCCAATGGTTCAGCATAATTTGTTTCAGCCACATTGAGGGGTTTAGTGTCTATATTCATCTGACTTTTTGCTTTCTCTCCAAACTTGAGCCTTCCATCCTTGATGGCATTCTGAATTAGATCCCTGAAAAGAAAGCATTGTGAGGTTTTATGGCCTAAGAAGTTATGATATTTACAGAAACCCCTTTTCTTTTGTTGTTCCAATGGAGGAATCTTAGCATTTGGGGGCACTACCATCTGGATATCTTTCACTAATAAGTCAAATATCTCATCACAATTCGTCATATCGAATGTGTATTTTTCTTAGGATATTTGTCATTTTTTCCTGTTTTGATGGGGTCCTTGCCATTCAATTGGGCAAGAACTTTACAATAGTATGGGGGTGCTTGTTTCAGTTCTACCAAATCTATTTGAAGCTCTTTGAATCCAAAAGGATCATTTAGAATTTCTTGTTCCTCTTCTTCAGCTTTGATATAAGCAACCCTCTGTTTCTTGTAATTTTTATTTGCCCTAATCTTTTCAGCTTTTAAACGTTCAACTTGTCGAACCCTATCTGCTAACTGGTCCGTGTCCCTTAGATATTTGGTATCTAATTTCTTTCGAATGGAATAGTCTAAACCTCCTGCGGCCATTTCGACTAGTTCATGTTCAGGAACCACTGTAAAGCATCTAGACTTCAGTAAACGAAATCTATTCAGGTAATCATCTATTGGTTTAGTGAGTTTCCTCTTGATACTGGCCAATTCTTTGAGACTTATCTTAGATCTCCCCATGTAAAATTGTTTGTGAAATAATCTTTCCAAGTGTTGCCAGGCATTTATAGAACTTGGCAAAAGAGTAGTAAACCAAGTGAAAGCAATTTTTGTTAACGAACTTGGAAAGTATTTTATTCTCAGGTTCTCACTATTTTCCAAATTCCCTGCTTCAGTCAAATACCTGGTTATATGCTCCACAGTGGATTCATTAGTATCTCCTGAAAATTTTGTAAACTTAGGGACTTTGCAACCCCTTGGTAATTCTGTTTGTAATATATATTCAGATAAAGGGGATGAATAATTTGGTCTCTTAAGTCTGGTATTTAGACCATTTTGCGCCTTGATTCTCTCGATCATGGTGGTCAAGTTATTTTTCATGTTATCTTGTCTAACTCTATGGACCACTTCATCTGCATTTTGATCCCTATTAACCACCATTACTCTCCTAGGTTATTCCTCTTGGACATCGCTTCGAATCCTTTGTTGCTCTACCCTTGGTTCTATAATTCTTTTGACAGCCTCATGTCTAGGTAATCGCACTTGGTTAATGGTTGGTTCTTCCTCCTAAACAACTAGGGCCTGATTTTTCCTACGTCGAACAGGCACTTCAGGGGCACCAAAGAAGTCTGCTATGCGCGCCTGCACTGACATTTACTTATAGGTTTGGGTATTTTCTTGATTGGTTCTATTAATATTTTGGATCAAAGGAGTGAAAATGGTACTCATCTCTCTAGCCAGAACTCCTACCATATCATGGTTACTATCATCCATTTGTTTCCTGATTGCTCTTTGTCAGTATAGGCATTTGGGTAAAAGACCCTTGATTTTGGGTATTTCAACCCATGTTATTCATCCCATAACCAGACCCTTGCACCGAGGATTGGGTCGTTATTATACTATTATGAAGTCCTTCCATGAAAGAAGTTGGCGTTCCATATAGTGGTGGTTCCCTAAATGGGCTAAATGTTTCAAATCCTGGAGGCCTAGGGGTTGAAAGTTGGGCTTGGTTCCCAACATGTGTAAAAATCAAACCAGTTTGGGCATTCGAAGGAATGCTCGTTGCACTCGAAGAAAAATACATGGTTGTTGAATTATTTGTGGCCACCGCACCTATAGATGTAGGTATGGTTTGTGTGTGAGGGATTATGGTTTGCAACAACCGTACCTGATCCCTGTGGGGGATTTTATTCCGCGTTATGGCTAGTCGTGTTAACCATATTTCTTGTATATTTTCTTTTGGGTTTTGGTTGGTTATTGTTGGCTATTTTACCACTTCTAAGGTTCATACAACAATAACTAAAGACAGACTCAAAAGATGAACGATGAAAGATAGATGCTCATAGAAAAATACAAGTTTTCAAAAACTTCGACACGGTCCCACTGGGCATGCCAATTTTGTTACGCATGATTTGGTAAACAACCGCTAGTCTTCCAAACTAAATACTTTGGTAACTTGCAGGATCGACTAGATTGATCCTAGGACATGTGTCTAAGTTTCTAAGATTAAACTTGTAATGAGATTCATGTTTAACGTTATTTCGTTGATAACAATATAAAGATTGGAATTATAATTTAAAGTAAATTCGAATAAAAGGATTGCGAATGTGTAATGCAAAGGTTTCGACTGGAAACGTAAAGAAATGTAAAGGAAATGCAGGATAAATGTAGATGACTTGAAAAAATAAAAGTTTTTACTGAAAAGTAAAGGAAATACTGAAAATGTTAAAAGACTTGATATTGATGAAGTAAAATGGTTCAAAAAGAAAAATAATGGTGTCTATACGTACATTCTCTGTAACTCTTTTCTCTAACACTAGGTACTTCGAGTGTATTGAATAATTTGTACAAAATGAACACCTCCCGAATCCTAACATTAAGATCCCTATTTATACTAATTTGACCCTAATGGTCTTTCTATAATAGAGTGCCACGTTGGAAGATTGCATGTTCTTCGAATCCACCAGACTTCCACGCGTCTTCTGTGACTCAAACATTCAATTTCAAATTTGAATTCTTCTATTCTGTTGGCGCCACGTTTTCGACATGTATATCCAAAAAACTTTAGATTTCGAAATATACAACGAATATTTATTATATTCGTTTTTTCTGTCCATCGAATCATTCCAAATGTTTGGGTTTCATACTCAATTCAATCCAATCGAAACTGAAACACCAAAAACAATATTAATGCGTTCAAACAACCGTTGTAAACGAAATTCCAAGCCAACACCAATACATGCCATCTTTCTCTAATGCAGGCCATCTTTAATGAATGCATGTGACACTAATATGCAAGAACATAGTTTCACATTGATTATTCTTATCTATCAATGTCTCACCAATACAGGTCATCATCATCATCATTATCATGCATATCGTGTCACACAATCAAAATGCAACAATATAATTTCACATTGATTATTCTTACCTATCAATACCACGCCAATTCAAGACATCGTCATCAACATTGTTGCAACTAGTTTTAAATTTAGAGTCGCCACCCTTAATTTTCATCCTAAAGGAATGGAGTATAAAGGAATAACCCTAAAAGTTCAGAGATTCTAGATTTGGACTCAGTTCTAGACGAGGGAATGGTATTAGGCACCCCTTATCTACATTTTTCACAAGGATATTAGGTTTAGAAGCGCGTTTTTAGGAAATAGGGTTTTTAATTATTATTGAGAAAAAGGGTTTGAATTTTAGTTAGCGGGACTCGCCACGATTTTTGATCGTATACCTATGTATCCTCTTAGGAGAAATCAGAGTCTCATTTCGTAATTCGCGGGTGGTTTGTGTTTTTTATGGATCGCGAAATATATTTTGAATTTCCCGCGTATGTGGTCTAAGAGGATGAATAAGTAGAGTTTGTTTGCCAAATACGCAGTTAACTTAAATATATTCACATTCCTTTTCGAAAATTTGAATTAATTTATTGCGAAAATAATTTGATGATTGTTTGAATATTTTTAGACGTATTGCTGAGGAGTCTGATATAGCCTCCTTATCACGTGGCCAGATATTGGCCACGTGTCGCTCGCAGATGTGGTAATTTGGTGAATCGCGCGGGTTTTAGTATCTTTATTTAAAATATTAAATTTAAAGGGTGTTTTATTTGATTCTCATTGAGAGAAATTAAAATGTGCCAAGAAGTTAATTTTTATTATCGTGATTAAAAGAAAATAAGTTAATTAAGTGGACTAAATAAACTAGCTAATTATAATTAGAGGGATGTGAAATGAATTGGAGTGGTGTAGAATCTAAGTTTGACCCTAGGCCTAAAGCTCACTTCTTCAAAAAAAAAGATGTATATCTTAATCCCAGAAAAACAAAATAATTATAATATATAAAGAAAAAGAAAATAGATAAGAAAAGAAAGAAAAAAATTAAATTAAATGAAAAGAAAGAAGAAAAAAAAATCGGTGGTGGGGACTTCCCCTTCTTACGTGAGACGGCCACACCACCACCCTTTTACTTCTCCATTTTTTATGATGACACGTGGCAAGTTTTTTTTATAAAATAAATAAAAAGTAAATATAAGAACATCTAGGCAAGAGAGAAACAAGATCAGCACACCAATTCTTTCTGTCGGAGCACCGTGAACGAACAACACCAATAAAACCTCTCTTCCAACAAATCTCAGTATCAAATTCATAAAACCAAATCATGTTATCTCTCTCACAAATTCAAACCAAACAAGCATAAAATAAAGAATCATCAATCCATACCCAAATTACAAAAAGGAAAATCGATCCAGAAAAGCGAAGTTAGCGCAGAAGCTGCAGTAGTTCCATGGATGTGTTTGCGTTATGTGGAGGAGGATGGCGCAGCGGTTCCATTGTGCAGATCAGATGGAAGGGGCGCGGATGGCGGTGGCGGTCTGAATCATGGTGTGTGTTGGAGGAACGTTGTCGGAGCTTGAGTAATTCGCGGAGGGGAAGCAACTTTGATCTCACTTCTTCTTTATATATGGGTTAAGCTCAAATTCTCTTTGATACAGAAGATGTGCTATTTGATTTGGTGTGTTTGGATGTATTGCTCTTTTAGCTTTCACGTGTAACTCAAATGGAGAATGGAATGATAATAATATTATATAAAGATGGTGCTAATATAACTAACAATTATTATACTAATAATCTAATAATGCTAAAAATAACACCTAATAAAATTAAATAATAACGATAGTAACAATAATAATACTGGTAATAACAAAAATTAGTAATGATAAAAAATGACTAAGCTAATAACTAATTAGAAAAATAATTATACTATAATACTATTAAATCTAGACATTAATAATAAAATAAAAATGACAAAGGTGAGAGAAAATGATAAAATTTAGAGAGAAACTCAAGCCCTCTCACTCCTTACTCTTACCTTACTACCAACTAAGCTATACTAGAACTCATATAATACTAAAGGTAAGAAAATTTAAATAAAACAAGGTAATGTATTAAAAAGAAGAAAATCGAGATTTGAACTCAGAACCTTATGCTCTTATAATCCTTACGCTTATCCACTGAGCCATCACAATTACTTGAAATAAAATGACGCTAAAAGCCTATGGTAATAAAACGTATGGACAAATTTGGGGTATGAAAAACATCGCCATGCAATATATCGTGCAAACAATCAAACCATTCATACAACATCATCTTACTTAATCACAACACAAATCATCACACATTACTTAAGAATATACACAGATAGGCATCAATGTTGGTAAAATAATCAGTTAATGTACCAATTTATTTCTATAGGATAAAAAATGATTTTAGCTTTCCAAAGGTCCAAACGGCGCGTCAAACAGACACTCGAGGCGAAAGTTATGTCATTTACAATTTTACAAAATTCTGTCTAACACGGTGGTAATTGATTACTGCATTACGGTAGCCGGTTATTGCGCAAGTCAGTAGCTCTGTTTTTCAAAAATATGTCAGTGATAACCGGTTACTGCATTAAGGTAACTTGTTACTGCGTAACACAATAGCCTCTTTTCTTCAAATTTTCACGTGGTAGCCAGCAGACCAGTAACCAATTACCACTGTTGTAGAACAGAAAAATATGCAACTTTTTCAAATGCGATTTTTAACATTTCAACACCAAAATTTCCAGTTTTTCTCATCAAAATTTATCTTTCAATCATGCTAATTATTCACCAACACCTGCATATCGATTCTAACCAAAACACATCATCAATTTCACAATCAATCATACAAAAATACATCAAAACTCAATAATGGGAGAAAAACCCCAAGAACACCAATTAGAGAGAAATCAAAACATACAACCATGCAACCTAAATTATACCATACTCCATCATTAGAAAACCTATAATCCTCTCTTACCTTAGATTATCGCGGTTCTTGATTCCTACGGTGAATCTTCCTGCCCTAGCTTTCTAGTGTTTTCTCCTCTTCTCACTTCTACGCTTCTCTTTCTCTTGTTTCTACGATCTAACTCTTTTCCCTTATTCTTTCTCTAATATATCCCAATAATAATATAACCTTATTCATTAATTATTTAATAAAATAATACTAGTTCTATTATTCTATTAATAATTCTATTTTAATTATTATAAAATAATAGTAAACTTCATATTTAACCCAAAAATGCCAATTATCACTCTCACTCTTATGTTTCTACACTTTTAGACATACACCCCTATCACCTCAACTTATATATTTTCTAATACATCTAATTACTAACAAATGTATCACATCACAATATTCACCAACCCATACAAATACATCGCATCATCTAATTATTTAACTAAAAACAATTCTAATTAAATCAGGGTGTTACAGCATCTCGTTCACGATTGAAGTCTGCAAGAATCTAGCTAATCAAAGTGTCTATGTCTATTAAAATTTTAGAAACCTCAGGTGGACAGGTGACTATGTCGATTTGGTTTATCAATTTCTTCAGCCCGTAGCATGCAGTGGCATCATTCTTCAGAGTATCAAACAAGTCGGTTTCAAAGATTTTTTTCTTTAATATTATGAAGAAGTTGTTCAAAGGTTTCGACATTTGAGCCTCCACTTGAAGTAGTCGAAAGGCTGGAGCAACCTTTATCTAAGAGAGGTCCTTTTTTAGTCATCATCAACTTCACATATGAAGGTGTGAAAAACAATAGAAAGGGGGGTTGAATTGGGTTTTTAACTCAAAAACTTTTCTTTAAAAATAATCTTCTTAAAATAAAATATGTTTCCCCCACTCTTGATAATAACAATAATTAAGAATAGGAAGTGAAGAACAAGGTATGTTTATACTAGTTCACTTGAAAACTATCAAGCTAGTCTAGTTCACCCGCCAAGGTGATTTCTCCTTATCAACAAGGACTTAATCCAATAAGCCAACTGATTATTACAATGCATAAGCTACCCGCAAGTGACTAAAAACAACTTCTAAGACACATTAATCTTAGACTTCTTAAGAATTCAGACTTAACTGGTCCCTTAAGGAAAATCAAATCTTTAAGACACATTAGTCCTAGACTTATCAAGAATACTGACCTAACTGATCTCTTAAGGAAATCAAACAACTATTTAAATACAAGTTTGGTTTACAAGAATATTGCTTCTACACAAGATGAATATGTAAACCATTTTAAGAACAAAAGACTAAAAAGTATGAAAGCTATGAACAACGCTTGTGCATGGATAATCCGTGAATTAACAGCTTTCTCTCTTAGTCATCAAGCTTTTATATAGCCAATAAAATAATATATTCATTGAAGGGAATTTCTAGAAATTCCATAAAGATTGGCGGCTTGAGAAATCACGTGGGGGACAAGATCGTGCGACGCGTTTGTCCTTCATGGTAGTGGAAGGTACTATTTGTACCACGTTAATGTTATCTTCTTTTCTTCTGCACTTTAGAGGCTTCTATGAGCATGAGCTTAGAAGAGAGAACATAACACAAGGTCATCAGAACTTCAAGTGTTCAGAGTCTTCAGAACTGCGTCATCAGAGTCTTCATCACTTGGTATTGAGAACCTTTTTCTTAGAACCTTGGGTCTTTAGAACTTCAAGTCTTCAGAGTCTTAAGAACTTCTGTGTTTAGAGTCTTTAACACTTGGTCTTTAGAAACTTTCTCTAGAACCTTAGGTCTTCAGAGCTTCAAGCCTTCAGAGTCTTAAGAACTTCGTCTTCAGAATCTTCAGCACTTGGTCTTTAGAACCCTTTTCTTAGAACCTTAGGTCTTCAGAACTTCAAGTCTTCAGAGTCTTAAGAATTTCGTCTTCAGAATCTTTAGCACTTAGTCTTTAGATCCCTTTTCTTAGAACCATGGATCTTTATAAACTTGAGTCTTTAGCATCTGGACTTAAGTAGAATTATGTCTTCAGATCTTCTGACTTGTTTCTTTAGACCATGTTGTCTTTAGAAGCATGAGTCTTCAACATCTGGACTTAAGTAGAACTTTTGTCTTCAGATCTTCTGACTTATTTCTTTAGACAAACATCAGAGCCTATACTTCAGAAGCTTCTGGAGTGTCTTGCTACTGTTCATCAGAACTTATGTAGCACAAAAGCCGAACTAATTCTCTTCTAATGTCTTGGCTACGCCATCCATCAGAAGTAGAACGTGTTTGTTAAATACTCAAAAATAACAAACACTAGAGTATCAAAATTGTTCATTCAAACATACTCATTTATTATCATCAAAACTCAGAGATAATATTGTAGAACCAAATCTTTTTCTAACAATCTCCCCCTTTTTGATGATGACAAAACTATATATTTTGATGACACAATTTTGTTCATATAATCAGAAAAAGTGAAAATAAAAAAGAGTAAGAACACTTATCCTTTTTATGAAACTCCCCCTGAGTCAAGGACTTAATGAAGCTCAAATATACTGACTCTGAACCATTTAAGTAAAACTCCCTCTGGTTTCAATAGATCAAATATTGAGATCTTGAGAGTCTTGACTCTAGATGCCAGTAAAATCAATTGAAATCTTGAAACTTTAATGTCACTAAGACAGCTTCCAGATTCTCAATTCTTAGATTCTGATTATGAACTGAAAAATATCTTCAGAGTCAGAAGCCAACAGGTTAGACATAAGTCTTGCATAATGCTTTCAGATATTTGTCTTTAATCAGAGTTCTCATTTCCTGAAAAAGAAAACAATTCTAACAGAAACAGAAGTTTAATTGGGTTAGAATGTAAGTAGCTTTTTTCAGAGAACATTTTCCAGAACTTGATTATTGAAATCAAAATTACGTTCATTTAATTACTCCCCCTTTTGTCATAATCAAAAAGGTAATTATGTGTGAAAAACATAAAAACCATAAGAAATAACAAGTAAAATAAGAAGTGATAAACCAAAATAAACTTCATTAAGAATTAGAAGATCATAAGTCAGAAAAGAAAACATAAGAAGCAAAACATAAGAAGCAAAACATAAGAAGTAAAACATAATAAGCAAAAGTTCTAAAGTTTAGAAGCAAAAGGTAAAATAAAAGTCTAGGAGCCTAGAGTCCATATGCAGGAGGTGCTGGAGCAGATATCTTGTCAAGAATTAGCTTCGGCATGTTCTGAACATTCTCATTGATCGCCTTCTATTCAATGATGCTTTCTCTGAAAACTTGTTATTCTCCTCTAATCTCACCAATTGTGTTTCCCAGATGCGCAATGGCAGGATCAAAAGAAGAAGCAACCAGAGCATCTTCTTTAGCCTTAGAAACTTCTTATGCTTTCCTTGCTTTTTCTGCAACTTTGAGTTTGGCTTCTTCTTCTGCTTTTCTAAGCTTTTTTCTTCTTCTGCTTCTCGAAGCGCTTTAGCTTCAGCCTCTTTTTGCTTAGCAGCAAAGAATTCAAGAACTCTAACTCTTTCCTGTGCTTATTTCCTTTCTTTCGCAACCTGGGCATCCCAAGCTTTTGATGCTTCAGCAAAAGTGTCAAAATGTTCAAAATCAGAAGCCATCCATTTCTGAAACTTCTTCCAAGAATCATCTGTTTCCTGAGGCATAAT